CGTGCTCAGGAAGTCTGGGAGAAGCTTGGATGTCGAAATTTGCAGGATTATTCTGAACTTTATATGAAGACGGACATCCTGCTCTTGGCAGACGTTTTTGAGAGATTTCGGGAAACATCACATAAGACCTATGGACTTGATCCTGCACATGCGTACACACTGCCGGGATAAATGTGGAGCTGCATGTTGTATAAATTGAAGCAAAAACTCGATCTACTCACTGACGTCGATATGATTTTGTTTATCGAGAAATGAATGCGAGGAGGCCTTAGTCAGTGCTCCAAACGATATGCGGAAGCCAACAACACATATATGCACAGCTACGATCCCTCCAAAGTTGATAAATACTTGATGTATTTCGACGTTAATAACCAATACGGGTGGGCAATGTCTCAATACCTACCGTACGGAGGTTTTAATTGGTTGGATGAACAGCAAATCGAAAATCTTGACATTTTAAATATATCCAGCGAGTCGGACGTCGGCTACATCTTGGAGGTCGATTTGGAAATACCCAAGGAGTTGCACGACAAATTTGCAGATTTACCTCCATGTCCCGAACATCGCTGCCCTCCAGGATCCGAAAATTAAAAATTACTGACCATCTTATACGACAAGCAGGAGTATGTCATTCACTATCGTAATCTGAAACAGGCACTACAACTGGGAGCTAAGTTAAGAAAGGTACATCGAGCTGTCTCGTTCAGCCAGTCGCCTTGGTTAAAAGCCTATATTGACCTAAACATTGCACTACGTCAGGCTGCCAAAAACGAGTTTGAAAAGAACTTGTTTAAATTGATGATCAATGCTGTGTTTGTAAAATCAATGGAAATCATACGGAACCATTCCAACGTTAAGCTTGTGAAAAACTGGGAAGGTCGCTACGGTGCGGAATGCCCGACCCGAATATAAAAGTGCAACTATAATTAGTAAAAATCTCGTTCTTATTGAATTAAAAAAATCTGAAATATATTTTAACAAACCTATCTACGTTGGGATGTCAATTATGGAGATAGCCAAGACAACAATTTATGACTTTCACTACAACTACATTCAAGAAAGATTTTCCAATTCCCGAGTTTTATATACCGACACGGATTCTCTTGTATACGAGATATTATCCATAGACCCGTACGAGATTTTAAAAAAGGATTGTTTCCGGTATTTTGATACATCGGACTATGCGGAGGATAATCCGTACGGTATACCCACAGTCAATAAAAAGGTTCTGGGTATGATGAAGGATGAGAATAATGGGCGAATTGTGTCTCATTTTATCGGACTTAGAGCTAAAATGTACGCCACAAAGCTATAAACTATATAAGACATATTGGATGACAAACCGTTGACCAAAAAAGATTACAAACGTGCTCAGGAAGTCTGAACAGGATCAAAGGAGTTGAAAAATCCTTCAAAACTAAGATAACCTTTGAAGATTTCGTCGATTGTTTGCAAAATTTCGCTGAAAAAAACATATCGCATAATTTAATAAGAGCGAGCAAACTGGAGTTGCACACAGTATCCCAAAAGAAGATCGGGTTAAGTCCTTGCGATGATAAACGTCGCATATCAAAATCGTCAGTAGAAACGTTACCGTGGGGTCACTATTCGATTATGGAAGAAAAAACTGTCTCCACTTGATTATAAATGTGTTTTATCCGTTTTGCTTTGAAATTTCGTTTTTTTTCCTAAAAAAAATCGAATGAGGTGCACTTAAGGGCTCAGTTCACGTCTGGCAGCCTCGTTAAATTTTTATTTTAAAAATGCATGAAATATTTTGATCTTTTTCATTATACTTTGGGCATATTTAGAGTAAAAATGACCGGAAGTCCTTAATATTTTTTCGCTTATTACCTCCAACTACTTTTATTATATTTTCCACTGTCAATAAACAGTTTGACTCCTGTAAATTTGTTTTTTTTTTTTTTAATTTTGCAACTAACCAGTACCTATAGTACGTGTCTACCGTTAACAGCAAACAGACGACCGATTTGCAAATGCCTATTTTGAAAAAAGTGTTTATCAATCTTGAAGATATTTATTTAAAGATTAAATGTGCTATTGGATTCAATTTTTAATATATTTAACTTTATCTCGAACCAATTTTGCGATGTCAATGCCTCGCAATCGCAGATAAGAGACTACGGTGCGGCGATATCCTAGTGGGGGCGGATGGATCGCCTTTGCTTTTAAGGCGCAAAAATATATTTGCGTGTGGGATGAATAATTTTTGTTGTGTATTTTTTACCTAATTATGTAATGTGTTTTCATGAAAATTCGACATATCTGCGAGATTTGTTTTTACTCTATCCTGTGTTGTGGGTTGTGGGAGAGGTTGAGAGGGTTGCGGGAGGGGTGTGGGTTGAGGGAGACGGTAGGTTGGTTGGTGCTAAGAGGGTATGGATCGAATGAGCTTGAGCGGACCAATTTCCGCTAATATGAACCTTAAATTTTCTTATGGGGAATTTACGTGTAAAAACGGCCGAAATTTGTTGTTGAAAGCAGGTATTATATCTACTAGCTAGTAACAGAAATCAATGCTAAAGGTACCGAATCGCTGTATGCTCTGAACAAAATGGAGGAATAGAAAGAAAAAAAACTTACCGTTGTCGGGCTGAATATCTTCTTACGGGAGCTTGTAGTGCCGAAAGGAAACGTAAGGCAAACCCAAAACGTAAGATAAGACACTACGACCAAATAAAATAGCAGCATACGGGTTCCAAAACCCTAAAATGGATAAAATTGATAAAACTTTCACAAAATTACGAACCTGTTGCTTACGGAACCTCGACCAACGGAAAAGTGAGACTGGAAAAACGCGCGATTTGCGTAGTTAGACCAAGGATCCAAATATGTAGCATTCGGCTATTCTATCGAATCGTACATGGCTAATAGAGATTGTATGTAACTGAAAATTTTTATAATAAATTGATGTTTTTGGCTAGTAATCACCGAGATGTACCACATCTAATTTTGAGAAAGCTAGTAGGTACTGAAAATCAGTTGACGTATCGATATTGCGAATACAGTTGTTGTTGCTGTTATTAGTTGCGCATCTTGCAGTGTGATTATGAGCTGGTTATAAATGGTATGAAGACAGTTTACGGCATTTAGGGAGTGGAATAAAACTCCTCCGATCATGCAAAAATGCTAATACTAACGCGCTTTATTGGGTGCCTACTAGACGTAGCGATAACCAACTAACTCGATATTATTTACTACCCAAAGAATGATTTTAAATCAAACAGCCGTATGTGAGTAACTAAGTTTGATTTTAACCGGCGGAACTTTAGGAATAATTGCCGATAGTTCCATATTCCGTTACAGCTAAAACAACAACGAAACAATAATAAAGTCAAAGGAATCCTCTCGGTATCCTGCAGCTCTACCAATACATACTTATACATCCGAACACAGAGGCAAAGGATAACATTCACACGGTAAAATCCAGCAAAAAGCAGTATCTGTAAGTAACAACTGGTTTGTCTTCCCTGGGAAAAAGAGGATCTATTAAAAAAAAAGTAAAAAACACACTAGAATAGAATTACCACGAGAAGCATGATTTAATGAATCAGGCCTAGATACACAAGTAATTCTTCACTTTATTGCAAATATGACATAAGGTCGAAATTCAAACGTAACAAGTGGTTGAAATATTACATTGAAAATAACTTGACGGATTGGGTGAAACCCGAGAATTATCTTATAAATGGTGAGCAATATCTAACATTTTTGATCGATTTAAATTATCCGAGCCTTGAGATATCTTCGAATTCCGAAATAGTTATTTTCTGCGGAAAATTTATAAGATTATCAGATCTTAATCTTTACGAGACGGTGTTTACACCCCTCATTAGCGACCCCCTCCTCCCTTTCCTTAAGCAATATATAAGCAGGTACAGAGTAAAATACGAGTCAGTTTCAGTCAAGCTCTGAAGAAGCCAACAGGATGATAGGTGAAACGTCAGCAAATTCGGAGGAATCCAGAAGTTTTGTAAAAAGCGTTACATTACAGGAAGTTTCTTTGAAAAATTAATATTAAAGGCTATAGGTAAACAGAATTAAATATGACCCAGTAGCAGATTATTTAATTGCACCTAAACAAATACGCGAAGAATTGTGTTTTGACAATACCCGCAGCATTTTACCAGAGATAACTTTCGGACCCTCTTTCAATAATGTCGTCTTTTTCCAACTGACAACGTAACTTTCTATTTTTCCGATAAAGCCACAGGAACTTTCCTGTGAGAAACTGCACCGCTTTGGGTTTCAAATCAATATGATGTTCCCTTTCAAAACATCCGAATCTTTTAAAAAGGTAATCATATTTTGACAAAATTGTATTTAAAATGAAAACGTTTGATTCATAAATGTCAATGTTTTTAATCAATTTTAGTTCCGTACTTCCTCAAAACTGGACACAGCATGAATGTTTCTTGTCTGAATTTTTTTAAATTATTTAAAATTCCTCTCTATCAACCATTAATCATATTAACATTTTCACGCTATGCTTATCAAACCTTGGAAACATTCTATAAATATAAGCTCTATCGACAAAAATTCAGTGGATGCAGTTGACGGTACTCACGCCAAAATTCAAAAATGTCTTAGTAAAATGCTGATTGTTTAACATATATTGGAGTCGTCAAAGTTTTCATTAATAAAATGTATAGAAATCTGATTTGGCAGACGTCAACTTTTACTTAAGCTAAGCCTGTAATAAATAAGTGGCGATAATGAAGAAAAAAACATCAAAAAGATACTCATCGGTTAGTAAAAAAAAATCCTTTTTATGTGGATTGCAGTGTCCTTTAATAAAACTCACCTAAATATACCTCCCTTTTTTGTGGAAAAAATAATTGACCGTATCCATGGGAATTTCTGTCTGTTCTATGCACATTAAGCATCGTCTGTATGCTCTGTGTCTTTAAAGCAACCAAAATTTTGCCATTTTCGTAAAGTTAAATTTTAAACTCTTATAAAAATTGAAAACGTTGCAGTGCGTATACTCCCACCTCGGACAGCGATCTGTGGACAGCATTCCAGGAAAATGTGGATAACTCGATATCGAAGATTCCAGATGGCGTCGACTTTGCGTCAATAGTTTCGTCTTGGTTCGGGCAGCCTGGATATCCTGTGGTGAAAGCGACTCGTGTCGGCAACGATTTGATGATCTCACAAGTGGGTATTATTATTATTATATAACAAACCCAACGCATCCCACGAAGACAATAAATACATTTTTCATTCCACAAGAATAACCTCTCAGGTGGAAAAGGGCCACACATACTGAATACTTCCCCATGATCATACAGGCTAAACTATAAACTACTTGAAACGATACCAAATTCTAGCCTTGAAGGCATTTTTTTTTTAAATTGGTGGAACCAAAAAAAAATTGGAAAAGGAAAAGAAAGCACATTAATTATTCCAAATTTTGTCATAAATAAATCAATAGAAACTGTTCGATTACTAACTTCAACCTACTAAGCATACAGAGAAAATATACATAGAAAAACTAGAAAAGAATCATAATTAATTAATTTGAAATTATTAGCTTTCTTCGAATCTACTATACTAAATGCTTCATCTATTTTAATAAATGTTTTTAATGTGATTTTAAATAACGAAAGTGTTCTACTATTAAGCCATCCTATTATTTTTTTGCGAAACTGTTGCACAGAGATAAAGAAAACATTTCTGTCCTGTTTTGGAATCGAGAGCGGCTTGGTTCATTCTGTTTTTGGCTGAATAAGGATTTCTTGCAAATAGAGTTGTCTTGCATTGGGCGAACCTGATTCAATGATAATTTGTGTTGTTGAATAACACCTACCTCTTTCATAAATAATTTTTAAATTCCATTTTTGTGAAATATTATTTCTTTCTCTACCCACCCTATATTGAAATTCGATAATTTAAGTGCGATTGGGCGAACGCATTATACAAGAGGGTCAAACTCTAAAATCTGAAAATTTGTATAAGTGATCTAAATTTACTTGTAATATATTCGGAGTGGTGGTCCCATCTCAAATTTTTTTATCTGCAAATAGTAATAATTTTCACTTAAATGTATTACCAGATATAGCAACTAAAATGCATAAAAACAGTTTTTGTGAAGTTTATGCTAATTTTTTTGACTTGAATTGTCTGCATATGCAATAGCGCTTGCCCCGCTCATCAACTTAAAAAGGTATTTAATATAAATAATAAAAAAGAGTGGGCCAACGGCCAATTCTAAAGGATCGCTCAGAACACCATTTATTTCTACAGACTGTCTTCTGTAACAAAGGTAGCTCTTTAGTAATTTTAAATTTGCTCCCGAAAAAACAATTCTTTCTATTTTTTTGATCAGCAATAAGTGAGAGATGGTATCAAATGCTTTTGCAAGATCGACGAAAACGGAGAGGGATGGGACACTTTTGTCTAATGAATCGTTTAATTTTAAAGTAAAATCTGCCACTACTGTCATATTAACGATATTGTTATGACCATGCAAAGAAGGGGTTTTTATTGTTTTAAGCGAAAACTGTACATCGGATTGAAAAAAATCTCTTTAAAAATTCTTATTTTTTTTTAAATTTATTTAACAATTTTTGGAGATTACAAGAATAATTAATTTAAAGAGAAATCAGTGGCGTAGTGAACAGGTGAAATTCTGTACGCCCACCACTGGTATATTTAAAAATAATTGTATTGGTGTATTTCAAAAAATGCCTCTTGATAATAGTTAATGTGTGGTAAAGTTTATTAAAATACCTGTTTAGTTTTCATTTTATTATTTCTTTGTTTTTTTTTTAATTTTCCTAAATAAACCAATAAATTATTTATTTTCCGCGAGTAAAGCACCAAGAAATTATTCTTCTACTTTTTCTTGGCAGTATTAAATTCTTGAACCTAACTGGCCAGCTATACGCGCCAGCGCCTTTCGGCCCATGCTTCAGTCAATACAACGGTGAAACGCCAAATCGGCAAAAAGCGCCGTTGAACGTATTAAACCAAACAATTTTTAAGGCTACCACTAACACCAAAATATATGAAGTTAAACCAAACAATTTTTAAGGCTACCACTAACACCAAAATATATGAAGTTAATGTATCAATTTTCAGAAATGATTACCGAGATTGGCCAACATTCATTAACTTATATGACAACATTGCGAAGTGAACCCCTTAATTTATTAAAAACGTTGCGCCACCTTGTTTATCGAGCATTGTATCGTGATAGATACCAGAACAAAAGTCTAATTGCCACCGAATTTGGAATAACATATACAAAGCTCTGAAAGGGTCATCTGATGACCATTTATTTTTGCGCCGGTGAGTTGACATATTTCAGAAATCTTATCAGCATCGACAATTTTGGGGGTTCCCACTGTCTAGCGGAATTTTATTCTTCTCAACGTGCTTTCATCAAAAAATGATGTGCATTCAGCTAAATGTTTTGAGTTTGCGCACAGCAGTGTAGAGGTCCCTTCATACGATTATTTAACCAAATTGCCTTTGCACTTTTAAACCCACATTATGAATCAAATTATAAAGGTTTCTTAACGCCGGAGAGCCGCAAATGTATATTAGTGTACCAGATTGGAGATCCATTGATTAAATGTTAAGTTTTCCAATCGAAAACAAGTCGCGATAGGTACACCATTGTTAAAGAACATCGCTTATGCACATTATGCCTCAATTTGCGGTGCATGGCAAAAAATTGTTCAAGCAATATAGCTTGCCAATTTTGTCAAAGTCGGACAAACCATACTTTGCTCAATTGAGGAGCCGATTCTCCTTCCAAATGCAGTTCGCCACAGACACAGACACAGACCACTTCCTCACTCCGTTGCATCTTCTGCAACCGTAGAGCTAAACTCCCTAAAATCATATACCTCTTCTTCGGCTAATATAACGGAATCAACCCTACTCGCTACTACCCTCTTACAAGGGGCTGATATACATGGTAACCTACACATTTGCCGAGCGCTGCTGGATAGTGAAAAGTGTTGTCGAAGACTGGGTTTAAAAAGCTACGGTAGAAGTGTCGAATTTCGAGGCATCGGTGATAAGTCAGTTGGTACATCGAAAGCGTACGCTACTTTCGAATTAAGTGTAGCTTGTTTAATTCAACCTATGGTGGCAGTTTATTCAGTCATATTACCCTTTATTTGCGTTAACGCGCCTATGACCCTATAGCCTTGAACACTATTCACCGCGGATTATCATGGCAAATGTCACAACTCTCGTTCGCATCCACGCCATACCTTCTTTACTACATCAGATTCTCTTGACAGAACCGTGTCCAAATTCTGGCAACTTAAAGAGACTCCACACACTGAACCTATGTCTGAGTCCGATAAGTTTTCTGAGCGAGTTTTTAACACTACTTACAATCGAGAATCGTCCGGAAGATTTGTAGTGTCTTCTCCCTTCAAAGCAGACGAGCCTGTTTTTTCGAGTTCTTGAGATAATGCCCTGAAGCAGTTTTGTTCTTTAGAGCGACGAAAAGATGTTGATCTCCATGATAAATATAATGCCGTCACGACTAGTGAGAAGCTAAGTGAGTAGTATTAAATGCGTCTTGTCCTACTCCGCAAGGATCACTCAATGAGATTCTTCTCTCAGGTTCTAAACTGCAAAAGGACTTAACCGCAATTTGCCTTAACTTCAGAAAATTTCCAATAGCATTTTCTTGTGATTCCAACGCCATGTACCGTATGATTGTAGCTAGACCCCAAGCATCGGGATTATCAGAGGCTAGTATGGAAATTTTCTCCTGAGCAGCCTATCCATGATTATCATCTTACCCGCATTACATTTGTAGTTGCATCGTCTCCTTTTTTAGAACTTGGGGTCATATTGCAACTGGCAGAACCATATCTTTTAAAACAGAGCTTGTGGAGTTATTAAATACAGCAGACTTTAAGCGAAAGTGGTCAAGTAATGATCTCAACTTTCTCAATACAATTCCATAATTTATTCGACAAAATTCTGTTTCACTAGACGCTGATACTGATTGTTGTCACAAAGTCCTTGGTCTCCAATGGGACCCAGTTAATGATGTCGCATGGTCCGACTTTATGGATAGTTCTCGGTTGGATAAGAGCGCCTCCATATAAATGGAAAACCTACCTAGCAAATCGTTTGTCGCACATTCAAAGTATTCTTCCTCTATCTCTTGGAGATTTGTCCAATCACAATTTAACCCAGGTAATATTGTAATATGTTGGCGAAAGAGCTATTGAACAAGTCTATGTGGTGGCACGGTCCAGAGTGGCTACGTAGTTCGCCTGACCAATGGCCAAACAAGCCAGCTCCTATTCTCGACTTACCAGATATTCGGATAGAGGAATCAAAAAAACATGTTTACTCTACGAATTTTCCATTAAAATTCGTCCCTTTCTCAGATTTATTGTACAGATTTTCTTCTATTCAGAAAATTCTTAGCATCATGGCTTATGTTTTGGGTTTCATATATCTGAAAATAAAAACAGTTTCTTGATACATCTGTGATGACTGAAATTGAAGTACATTACTCATTACTTGTCTTTCTTAGATTCGTTCAACAGCAATGTTCTCGGAAGAAATTTGATCTAGTCTCCAAACCTATGCGCAAGTTGGGTTTTGTAATTGACACTCAGGATATTCACAGGGTGGGCGGAAAGTTAATGACACCCGTGCTCCCATATAAACAAAAACACCCTGCTTTTTTATCTTCAAACTTCAAACTGACAGATATGTTAAATTGATATTATCACAATTTGTCTCAATTTTACCTCTGTTTCCGAGCAAACCCTAAATCGGCCCCCTTATCGCATCTCACAATTCAAGCCATTTCAGTGTGTTAGCGTCGATATGGCAGATACTTTTCAAATTACCATGGCAAAACTTTGCTGGTGTTAAGACTCTAAAAGCATATCTTTATCTTTTCACCTGTTCTTCAGTTCGCGCTATCGAATTTGATTTAGTTTCGGATTTATCAACTGATGCATTTTTAGCAGCATTGCGACGCATTATTGCGCGCCGAGGAAAACTTTCTGCAATTTTATTTCTACATCAAAATACATAGCCAATATCATCTCCGATGCATTTAGAGAAGAGCAGATCTCTTGGTCATTTAATCCTCCCGCTAGTCCTCTAGCCGGCATCAAAAGCGTCATTGAACACCTAGCTCGCATCGTAGGTGACCGCATCATAACCTATGAAGAACTGAATACAGTTTTTGTTCAAATAGAATCAATTGTTAACTCGGGACCAATATGTTCTGTTAATAACGATCCCAATGACACGACCAGTATTACAGCGGACCACTTCTAATGTCAACATTTCCTCAGCCCGATATGACTTATTAAAACGTGTCAAGACTAGATCATTGGCTGCTATTCTTGCGAATGCAGCAGCACTTTTGGCGCCGAATGCACAATGAATATTTCACAATAGCCAATGTAATAAATGGTGCGACAATCGCCCCAATCTTGATGTTGGCACGCTGGTAGTCCTGGAGGAAAACAATCCAGTTTTTAACTGACGTCTTGCGCGTATAGTTGAGGTCTACCCTGGTTTTGATGCCATTGTTACAGTGGCCAAGGTTCGCACTGCGACTGGTGCCTTTAAGAGATCAGTAATCAGTAATCAGTAATAATTGTTAGCACCATTCCGAATTTTATTTTCATAACCTATAAATTATAGCTAAATATGGGTATTATTCATCGGAATCGTAATTTTATGTTTATGGGACAATACCTACTGAATTTTGGTGGGCGGTATGTTTAGTTGTTATTTTATTATTTCTTTGAGTTTTTTTGAATTTTCCTAAATTCAATTCAGAAAGTGCCTTTGACCGATTCGGTATTCTACGCATAGTGATTTCCAAAATTCTTTCACCACCAGAGGCACACGCCGGCCCGTCCGGGAAGGAAAACCATCAAATCGAGGTAGAGTCAGTTAAGTTTCGTTAAAAAAATCGAGTAATTTGATCCTTTCGCTTTCGCGACATCTTCCTGTGTCAACTGCCTCCAAAATCCGTTTCCTTGCGGACAAAACAATACCTCAAGTGGTATTACAGATATTAAAAAAAATGTATGTTGAATTTATAATGATAGGAAAGGTTCGTCAGATTCTCCGAGGACACCACTACAAAGTGGTACATACCCATAACCTACACGACATCGTCAAACATTCAAAACTTTGAAAAAACCGAACCCATGCTTTGGTTATCGCCGTCCGAAGAAAGTGCAATTATACCTCTCGACAGTTCTGACTCCTGGGTAATTTTAAATAACCAACAAACAGGTAACGATATAAATTTTGCTCCGAGAAATGAAGCGATAATAAGTTAACTCGCAGGATTCTACAGGGTAATGTACGATGATCTTTTGTTGGAAAATATCTCGAAAGCGTTACAGCAACCGAATTTCGATGGGATCAGCGAGATAAATCGCGCGCAAATTGTCGACGATCTGTTCGCTTTTGCGGAAAGCAAGAAAACAAAATACTCCATGATATTTGAGGTGCTTGACTATCTTAAAAATGAAGTGGATTTTCTTCCGTGGACGGCCACATTTACCGCCTTCACCGCCATATTTGAGAACTTTTCGCGACACGAAGTCATGCTGAGATATAAAATGAGGGTAAGTTTATTAAATAAATAAAACCATTTAGTTTCAAAAACGAACAAACAATATACACAATGGTTCATAAAGAATTGTCAATCTCAAAACTGGAAACCAGACACCAAAATATTATGAATGAGGGCAATATGCTTCGTACAAACGCCGCTGATCTCGGAGATAATCAAATTTTAAATTTTATTCTGAATTTTCCAATTATAGGATAAAAAACAAATTTTACCTATCTGTAATTAAAGATTATTTATCAGTAAATGAGATTTAAAATTCAATAATCCGATTACGCAATGTCAAGAAACTTAAAAATAATTTTCAGACTTTTTACCTTTCGAGATAGGATAGGAGAGTTTTTCTTAATTGGCCACCCGGTACGCATCTATAACGGAGTGCTCAGTTTTAACCTGCAACGCTTTTGCATACATTTAAAGCACAGGATCATGTAGAAACTGGAATTAGAATAAATATTGATCTCCAAAATATAGTAGAATTTTCGGATAAACATACAATAATAAATGCTAGCTTCAATTTAGTGGAGAGTGTTATCAGATACATAGATAAGAGCGAGCATGGCGCCCCCCACCCCCTGTGGCAAAAATGTTAAAAAAAAAATTTTTCATCATTTTTTGAAGTGGACCGTCAAGTCCCAAAAGAATTTTTTGTTAAAAGCTTCGCCAAAGTTTTGGTAGATTTAGTTGAAATTAGTCAAAAATAAATACGTATTGATGCTTTAAAAAAATAATTAAGAAACTTAAGTGGGCCCCCTTACCGCACCCTCACAGAGATGCTTTGCCCATTTAAAAATGTATCCACATAGGCGTAGTCTGAAAATAAACATTAAGCTGTTAAGTTTTGTCTTAAGCTACATTAATTTCGCTCATGCTGTTCAAATCGGAAGGACGTAAACAGAATCAATTAGAAAATATGGCCCAGTAACTCTTAAATTAAAGATGCTGAATTTGCTATGAAAAATTGGCTTTGACTTTGTTGAATGTGTCTCTACGACAAAATCATACAGAACATCCTATGATTCAAAGATGCAATGCAAAAGGCATTTGCATCATAAGATTTTCCAAAGGACCGATGTATGTAATTTACAATTAAGATTAAATCCCCTCCTTTCACACAATATAATATTTCATATTATATACATATTATAATCCCCTACCTAAAATCTTCAAACATTCGAACCTTTAAATAAGGTGCCTATTGCTAAGTATTTTATAAGATGGCCTGATGTTTACTGATATAGCAATTATATTAAAAAAATATATATGAATATATAACATATGAACACATTAATTTTATTTCTGTCAATCTATTAATTATGTATTAATATCAAATGGTTTATAGGATCAGAACCTCGATCTTATTTTGTTTCCATTTTTTCTCATTTTGTAGAACAATAATACAAATTGGCAGGTTTAGATTTTTTGAAACAACAATTACGAATTTGAAATTTATATGAAAGTTACTCATATCCTCCGAGTTATTTTCGAAACATGACAAAAATCAGAAAAATATTAATTTTTTTTCATTAGGAAGCTTGAATCTTGCGTTCCTTGACTTATTTGCATTTAAAAGGTTCAAAGTACTTTTTCTGAATTATTTTTATAAAACATTTAAAGACGAAAAGGGGCGAGAAGCAATAGAACCCCAATATTTATAAATAAAAATTTTATCATAGTGTATGAAATCCAATTAAAAGAAACTCAGAATCAATGTACGAATGCACAGGAGGAATAAAGAAATTAGCAAAGCAACCAAACAATCCAAATTAAAACACTAAATTCACCACATAATATTACTTTTTTGTGTAAACATTTTGTACGAAAACTTTTATTTTCAGCCAATCTTTGTTGATAAATAATTCTGGTTCGTTAGTGTCGCTGTAATCAGTGTCATTTTTCTCCTTTTTCCATTATGAAAAACAATTTCGATATTTCGTGGACTCCCGAGGTTTGACTCATGATTATTGCCAGCAAGATGTTTCCTCGCGTTGAAGTAATTGATGAAGGATTTTTTTCTCTGCAGAGTTTGACATGTTTCGCTAATATTTTGCATTCTATTAAGTATTAGCAGTCGCTCAAAGATATGGATTGCCTTTTGGTACAAAGCGATCCACAACTTTGAGTAACTTTTTAATATGCTCCTGAGCATCGACTGATTTAAATAGTATCGTAAACTGTGTCGAGAGCTACAATTTTTTTATATAAAGTTTTCGTCCATCATACAGGGTGCGCGCCACATTTGTAAAAACATTATTGCGAATGTCTAGTACTTGTTCAAATTGGTATTTACCAAAGATTTTCGCAACTTTGGAGTTCAGCGAAACATGAGACACTTTATACAGGGTGCATGCACAATGAAATTACATCGATTTTGCGAAAGTTCCATTGTGGTCCGCAGATGCATTTTAGAAAAACAATGCGTTCCTCTAGCACAAGAAACTGCGAAGCGGCATTTCGAAAGCAATCTTGTCTTGTAATAAGATAACTATAATTTTTACAAATATAAATATCTAAACAATTTGGTAAATTGAAATTTGTAAGTTACGTGTGGTCTAAAATGCTTCGTTTTCGTGTTACAGTTTTTTTTTCAGGTCATTTCCAATATTTGTTGTGATTTTGAGATAGTATTTCACCTCGTTAATATTTAGTATTGATTAATTTAATTTTATTTAAAAATAATTTATGTTAATTAAACACTTTTTAAGCACTTCAAACCCAAAATATTTCGAACGCGGGAAAAAAAGGACATTTGCGATGTAATGATTGAGAAATTATTTTTTTTTACAAAAATATAATATACGCTGGTACAAAAAGCCTCTAAAATCGAGAAAAGGACACGTAGCACTCAACAAGTAAGAGCTAATTTTAAGCAAATTTAAAAAAAAACCGTTGGTTAATAAATCGGCAACTTATACAGACACAAAAATATCTACAAATAAAATTGTGACTATCTCGAAATTTTAGACCAAGCGTTTTTAGCTTTTTGTTTGCAACTTTTCAGCAAAGCAAACAAGCAAAGAAATTTGCAATTATCGCAATTTCTTTTTCATAGTTTTCAATGCAACAAATGATATTTATATTTAAAGTAATTAAAAAAAAATCTTCATTTTTTATAACAGAAAAAGGCATATTTCAATAATATATTTGTCAAATTCTAATAACGTAATATGTGTCAATAAATTAACTATCAAAGCCTCTGTCAAAAAAAAAAAGAATAAATTTGGCAGATAAAACAATTGAATCGCATTTCCGGTTTTACTGAAATTACTCTATGTTTCTCTATTTTTGCATTTTGCGTCTGTTAATTAATTAATAGTTCTAAAATTATAATTTTCATTGTCGATAGTGATTTCTGAAAATGTCTCTTCGACTGAGTCAGCAATTCTGGTTAAAATACTATAATGAGTTTTAATACTTGTTTCGAAGGCTGTCATACGAGGAGAAGAATCATCTAACATTTCTGTGAGAGACGAAAGTATTTTATTATGTCGTATGGAATCATGGAATCTTTCTAGTGATCCATTAGATTGTGGGTGGCTAGCGCTCGAAAAAGTTGGTTTTATATCGTACAAGAGACAAAGATCTTTGACAACGGAGTTATCAAATTCTCGGCCATGGTCACAATGTATTCTAAGAGGAGTTCCAAAATGTTGGAAGTAGAGAAGAAGGATAGTTACGATTGTAGAAGCTTTTTTGTCTTTTATTGGATATGCCTGGGTGAATTTTGTGAGTTCATCTCTTATGGTAAGGGCGTCATTACGAACTGGGAATTCGAAAATATCGATGTTAATGCGCTCAAAAGGAGTTTTAGGAGTTTCTGTGATAACTAATGGTGTGCTGAGGTTTTTACGATAGATCTTGACTTTTTGACATATTTCGCACTTTCTAATATAGTTTTCGACATCTTTGGTCAAGGTTGGCTAATTGTAGTTTTGTTTTATTCGATTAACTGTTTCGTTGATTCCGCGATGTAAATTGTTTTTTCCTGAATGGTATTGGTCTGAAATGATAGAGATTTCGTCTTGATCGGGAGTTCGAACTATATCTTGGCAGATTCTTAGTTTTATATCCTTTTCGGAAAATATAAAGGAGAATACTTGTAATATCGGAAGTTGTAAATTATTTTCAATACCATATAGTTTTGAAAGATCAATGTTATTTTTTACTGTGAATAAAATATAGAATAAATGTTCAACTACAGTTTCATTGTCATATGCAAGAGGGATTATATAATATTTCCTGCCTTTGACGGTTTTGCTAGAAAAAATGTTAATTTTGTTAAATGTAAAATTTATATCTTCTTCAAAAATGTCGTCCATTATTTTGTTATGCAAATCATTAAGTTTTGATTACCAAAAGAAAGTGACAATATCTTTGTGGTTTTTGTCGAGAAGTTGAGAATTAGAGGTTTCTATTTGGGAATAATCTATAATGGATGTGGTTTTACGAAGGTATGCGAAGTTGTTGTATTCTTCTGTAACTTCCGCTATGTCGTCTTAGTTATCTGCATTATTAGATTAGATTAGATTCTTATTTACTTGTGGATAGTCTGTTGTGAATCTCATCGTTATTAGATGCGAGGGTAATGTCGAATATGGTTAATTTTAACTCGGGATATAGCGTCTGCGTTCTTATTTATTTTACAGAGCTTATACACAATGGTAGAGTCGTATACTTCAAGCTTAAGACGCCATCGAGCTAAACGACTACCAGGATCATTTATAGAAAATAACCAAGTTAAAGGACGACGGTCAGTAACGAGAATAAATTTTCCTCTGAACAGATAAATGCGGAAATGCTTGACTGCGCATACTATGGCAAGACATTCCTGCTGTATAGTTGAATATTTCGTGTCTGCACTGCATAGAGTTCTAGAGGCGTATGCTATGGGAAGGTCTATTCAAATTGGACCTTGTGAAAGAAATGCAGCAATGGCAAATGCACTGGCATCGGTGGTTAGGACAAAAGTTTCCTCAAAATTAGGATAAATAAGTATGGGGTCACATGTTAGAGTTTTTTTAAGTTCATTAATCGAGTTTTTGCATTCTAAATTGAATACGAATGGTGTGTCTTTTTGGAGAAGTCTAGTTAGAGGTTTTGAGATCTAAGCGAAATTGGTGTTAAAACGTTAATGTAACCGGCTAAACCAAGGAAGGATTTAATGTCTTTCGGCGATTTTGATTATGAAATTTTTTGAATAGCGGCTATTTTGTCGGGATTGGCTTTGACTCCGTCTTGGGTTACACGATGCCCCAGGTAAGCTACTTCCTTTAGAAGAAATTCACACTTGTCAGGTTGGAGTTTGAGGTTTTGCACCGCGAAGACGTTTGAAGACATTAGTTAACCTTTGTATATGTTCGTGTATGGTAGCGAAATAAACGATAATATTGTCCATGTCGTTTTAAAGAGCTAAGAGAATGTTGTCCATGATACGTTGGAAAATGGATGGAGAATTTTTTAGTCCGGAAGGTAAACGAAGAAATTCAAAATGACCATTTTCAACCAAAAATGCAGTTTTGGCAACGTCCGTGTGATCAATTTTAACTTGCTGAAACCCAGAGGCTAGGTCCAAAGTAGTGAAATATTGACATCTACCTAACTGGTCTAAAAGATCGGAAATATTGGGAAGGGGGTATTTATCGTCGACAGGGACTAGCCTTAATTTGCGATAGTCGATGACTACGCGCCATTTTTGTTTCATAGAAGCGTCTAATTTTTTGGGACAACCCAAACAGGGGAAGACCATGGAGAAGTGTAAGGTCGAATGTAAGGTCCTTGTTCGAGCATTTTGTTGACTTGTGACTTTACCTCTTGTTTGTGGACATGTGGGTACCTTATGATTTTGTAAAAAATGGTCTAGCGTTGTTCGTTTCAATAGTATATTTAATTTCGTTAGTGAAACTTAAATGATCTCCTTCTAAATATCAGAAATATCAGAAAAATCAAGACATAATTGTGTTATTAATTCTTTTTCTTCTTCGTTTTAATCGTTAATTTCTTTTCCGTTAAGATTAGTGTTAAAAGGTTCGATAGATAAATTTGATAAATCTATAATTTTAGGATAGCATTAGCTTTAACAACAGTAGTTAAAAATTCACCTTTGTTATTTGCTTTAAGTGAAGCATTAGGTAACTTAACTTTTTCGCATTCTGGAGAGTGTAGAATAGCGTCTGTGTTTGTTAAATTACATTTTAATTTAAAAATTCTTTGTTCATATTTGTTAGAAATTTTGGGAAAAAGAGATTCATGTCCTACTTTATGAAAAGTAATTCGTTATAAGTTTTTTGGAATTTAAATCGATTGTACATTAATAACGATCGAGAAAATTCGATATTCGATATCAAGATCGTAAAAAGGACCTTATGTTTGTCATTATCCGTGAACGGAATAAGTGTGGATTCTTTAATGAAAATTTTTTTATTTGTTATATCTTAGATGGTAATATTGTCTGGAACTCGTGTGCTTGTGTATGTAGTCTTCAGCGGATTTATATTTAAAGATAGAACTACCTGCTCCTTTATCAATTAATATTTTGAATTTTGGTGTAGCGTCAAAAATATAAAACAAATTTTTTGAATTTACTGTAAGAAGAGGATTTAGCAGAAGTTCTGTTCTGAAAAGTTTAGATTGGTGTTCATATTGTCTAAATTTAGGGATGTCATCCGTTCGTTTGTTGAACTCCGACTGGAATCCTGTACGTAGTGTTTTCATCGCGCCAGCATTGAAGATGTCAAGTGAGATCTTGGCGAAACGTCTGTAGCATTCCAGTCGGAGTTAATATCCCGGAATATAGTATCAACACATTTTTCCAGGCAGGAATCATAATGCTATAAATAATTATATTAAGATCTGTTGATATGTCGGTTATTGCTAAGTTTTGACGTTTCTTGTTTTTGAAATTAAAAGGTTTACTGTTGTTTGAAGAAATTTACTGCGTGAATATTTCTTTGTGCTTATTCCATTTGTCTGCTTGTAGGTACATTTGGTATGCCTGCTTGAGAAACTGTACGCTGCTGTACCAATAAATGCGCCAATTCCAAATGACAACCAATATTACGCCAGAAATCAAGCCATGGTAGGCAAATGGGCTTGCGGATTGGGTTACGCACCTTGCATAGAGGATGCTCGCCCATTCTTCCAAGATTATAACGAAGGCACATTGTGAGTTTTTAATATTGTATATCCAAAACATCATTAATGAAAAACGTGAATGCCTCTACCGTCGCACCAGACAAAATTCAGTATCCTTCTTTAAGCTTATTTATGCACCATCGGAACCATATTCAATTTTCTCTAAACATAAAACTTCTTGCTCCATGCGCTTGGTCCAAATTTAGGACATTCTTCGATGTTGACAAGTCTACATGATTATCGGCTTTTACAATGATTCATGACAATGTAAAAGAAAGGCCTTAAGTTTTAAGGTATACGTAAAGATATAGGTAGGTAGGGCATAGTTAGTCTTGTACATCTAACAAACAAAGATAACCGCAGAAGCTGCATTAATAATTGCCATTAAAACAATAGGTATCGCACAACAGTTTTACTGAGTTTTTTGGAAATTTGATTTTAAACATCCCTTAAACCAATGCTCAGTATTCAATTCACTCTCAGATTCTTTGAGAAACCTATACATTTCTATTTTAATTACTCTAAAGCTCCCTTAAAATATGCAAATCACGATATTGACTTCAAAGTAAAAAAAATCATCCGTTGTTACTCGCACAGTGCCAAAAAAGTTTCTAAATCCGCACAATGAAATCGGAATGATGTTATTATTGACAAAGTAATCGTACATCTCAGTAAACAAAACTCTCTCAAATTGAAAGTTGCTTAATGACAAAACCGAAGAATTTCAATTTTTATTTCGACTCGCTGCAAACATTTTTCAATATTTAAAAGATTCACTATCTTTCAATAGATATTGTTTCGACAATTTTAGCATAAACCCGCATGTGGGGACCGAAGCAGTGTGCAATGTCATACGTTTCTCAGCAAATGAGTCTTACTTTCAGTACCTTTTGGATGAGTATAAAAGCGATACAGTTACCGAATGGTGGCAAGAGCAACTGATAATACAAATGACCTGCGTTCCTGACATCAACAAGATTCAACTGTAAGTAACAATTGTTACCGAGATTGTTTGCAAATTACCCGGAAAGTATTAGTTAAGAACTAGACATGGCAACAGAAAACCGAACCCACAAGGTTTCGGATGAACGCCCATCAAAACCGAAATTTGCGTTCAGACATCAGGTTCTAAAAACTTCCGAATGATTGGTCGCTAGTGAAGTGCCAATTTTTAAAATTTATATCCTTTTGTCTAAACATTCATTTATTGTCTTATTTATTATGGGTTAACTTCGAAATATGCCGGGTGTAAGAACAAAGACGCATTCGGGAAATGGATGATCCTAAAATTAGATGGAAAGTGTTAAGTAAAAATTCCATTATAAAATTTTGGAAATTATTTTTCAGTTCTTAAAATGATTACCAGGGGCGTAATTCCTTGACTGTATATATATATATATATATATATATATATATATATATATATATATATATATATATATATATATATATATATATATTAATTTGTGTTCGGTTACGCAACAAATTTGTGTATAAATTTGTTGGTACCAATCTGTAATTCCAAGATCACTCTGGTTCCCCGAATCCGAAGTAAAATGACCGTAATCATGCCCTGACTTACCCCAAATTTCCTTGTGGAGGATGTGCTGGGTTGAAGGGAATGCGCTGCATGGTTCTACCGGAGGGTTCCACTCTTGAGGGTGTTGCACACTGCTTTTCAAAACAGGTGTTTAAATTTCCGACTCGCAACGCGCAATTCTCGATTCCGGCACGGCCGCTCGCGAAGTGCCGGAGGCAGGTAAAAATGGAGTAACAAAAAATGTTTATATAAAAGAAGGAAAGGTTTCCGGGGAATAAAGGAGGGAGAACAAGACGGAGTATACAGTTGTCAAGGCATGTATATACGCACAAAATAATAATAATTAAACTATATCCCGAAACCCAAAGCACTTCCTAAAGTGAATGAATACCACCCAACGTAAACATAAAGTTAAATAAAAGTAAGATAAAAAAAGAAAAAGAAATACAAAAGTAAATGGAGACAGAACATTCCGCCCTCCCTGAAAATACCTGAGGGATCGGAAGGTTATTTTCTGAATCAGATCGCTAGAGGAAGAGGGCAAAGCTTAACTAGGGGTCGCTTAATCAAACACTTTGCCGTCCTTACGGTAGCTACTCTTGCAATATTATCTGCACCGGGATGCAGTTCTGCTATGCGACCTAGTGCCCATTTTAATGGAGAAGTCTGTTCGTCTTTGATTAAGACCATAGTATTGGAGTCAACGGACGCATTGTGGTCGTTCCACTTTGCCCGTTGTTGCAGTGTATGTAGATAGTCTTTGTGCCACCGACGCCAAAAGTCGCGATGCAATCTTTGCAAAAGTTGCCATCTAGATAACAAGTTCAATTTTAACTGACTTGTATCGGGATTTGGAATAACCGACAGAGGCTCTAAGGATAAAAAATGGCCCGGCGTCAACGCGGTCAAATCGCTTGGGTCCGTGCTAACGGGACATAAGGGTCTAGAGTTCAAGATAGCTTCGACTTGAGTCGTGCAAGTGTAAAGCTCCTCAAAGGTAAGAATTTGTTCGCCGATAACACGCAGTAAATGTGTTTTCGCCGACTTGATGTTACCTTTCCATAGGCCCCCCATATGGGGTGCAGAAGGAGGGTTGAAATGCCATCGGATTGACTCGTGTATAGCTACGTGAGCATAGATTTCTTTAAGATGTTTTGAGGCGGCAACAAAATTAGTGCCGTTGTCCGAGTAAACGTTACTGACGCGGCCACGCCGTGCTATGAAACGTCAAAATGCGGCTAAAAAAGTATCGGCCGATAAATCGGAGACAATTTCCAAGTGCACTGCTTTAGTGCAGCAGCAAATAAGCAGTACGATGTAGGCTTTAAGTCTCTTGGCGCCGCGTAAGCGGTTCATGGTAATAGGAAAACTTCCCGTTAGATCAACACCCACGTTTTCAAAAGCTTTGGCTTGTGAAACCCGAAATTTTGGCAAGTTTCCCAGAAGGGGCTGAAAAGGCGTCGGGTGCGTACGCCAGCAAGTGATACAACGCGAAATTATTTTGCGTATAAGTTTCTTAGCCCCACATATCCAGTAATTTTGGAAAAGTAGAAAGAGTGTGGTTTGTACGCCGGCATGCATATATTTCTCGTGCAAATCCTTAATAAGTAAATCTGCAAACCGAGAATTTCTGGGTAAGAGTATCGGATATTTTTTATCGTAATCTAGTTCTGAATTACATAGACGTCCGCCAACACGCCAAATATCATTTTGATCTAAGAACGGATTGAGCTTTCTGAAAACTTTAGGTAGACGTTTACCTTTTTTGAGGAGTGAAATTTCGTTATCAAAATAGCTCTGTTGAATATGTTTAACAAAGGTGTTAGTTGCGCTTTGTAATTCGAAAAAGAGTAGCCATGAAGGAGCAGTAAGAACCTTTGGTTCGTAAAATGTTTTGGAACGAATATTATGTATAAATCTTAGAACGTAGCCTAAAACCCGAATAAGTTTTCTAGCATTAGAGATGTTGTTTAACATAGTGTCTAAAAAGTATGGTGTTATCGTCGACGTGAGTACAATTCTGCGCTCTTCTTCGAAAGCTTCGGAAGGGGTTTCGATTTTAATTTTAGTAAATTCCCACAATTCTTGCGAAGTGCGAAGAAATGCGGGTCCCTGCCACCAAAGCGTACATTGTATTAAATCCGAGGGAAGTAAATCACGTGACCCGGGATCCGCGGCGTTGAATTCGGACGGAACGTGGTTCTAGTCGCAAGCCGCAATTTTTTCTTGAATATAAGTCACCCGGTTGGCCACGAAAGTTTTCCACCCGAAAGAAGCACCTTTTATCCACGAAATTATCCAAAAAATTATCTTGTTAGCAAAGGAGCGTTGTACAAAATGCATTAATTTGGCAAGTAATACCGCAGAACAATGTTCTAATCTTGGAAGGCTAATTCTCTTAACTGGCGCTACTTTCGACTTTGCGCACACAAAGTACGATTTGTAGGTGCCATCCTGGTTCGAAACGCGAAAAAATATAGTGGCGCACATGCCTCGCTCAGACGCGTCGCAGAAGCCCACAATCTGACAAAAAATGGAATTCGAAAGGTCAATCGAACGGGGTATTTTAAAATCCGAAAACAAATTAAGTTCGCTGACGAATGTTTTCCATTTTAAAATAATGTCCGCGGGTGCAAGCTCATCCCAATCCAATTTCAATTGCCACAAGTATTGAATTAGCGTTTTTGCCAGAAATGTGACCATGGTAAGCATACCTAGTGGATCATAACATCTAGCAAGTGTACTAAGAAATTTCTTTTGGTGCATAATTTAGAAGTGCAAGTAAAAGAGTAAAAAAAAGGTCTGTTTGCGGATCCCACCGCAAACCTAGTTTTTTTAACGGAGTATCATTCTCCAAATCGAGGGAAAAGTCGCGAATCCGTATGTGGGTTTCTGGTAAATTCGCGAGTAATTTAGGTTCATTGGAAGCCCATTTTTTAAGTTCGAAACCTCCCCGACGGAGCAGTTCTATTAGCTTTTTTTTCATAAGCGAAAGTTGCTCTAAATCTGGACAAGAAACCGCACAATCATCTATATAAACCGACTCTTTTAGTATCTTAGAAGCGAGGGGTAGGTCGTGATAATAATCAGCTAATTGTAACAGTAAAGTTACGGTTTGTAATTCGTAATCTGACACTGGATCCTCGGGATTAAAACGCCATAAGATTCTTTGGTATTTCCTTTGACTTGATTCAACATTTATCATGCGATACATTTTGGAAATGTCAGTGACGAAACAATATTTATGTAGTCGAAAATTAAGCAGAATGGTTACCAAATCGCGTTGTAACTTAGGACCGGCGTATAACACCTGATTTAGACTTGGCTTATTGGTTGCATGGCTTGACGCATCGAATACAATCCGTACGGCAGTACTTCGAGAATCTTCTTTTATAACCGCGTGATGCCCGATATAAAAACATTCGTGCAAATGTTCATCGCTGGGGCGCGAAACCGGACCCATATGGCCCATGGCTAAATATTCCTCCATAATCTCGGAATAGGTATGGTATAAGTCTTTGTTACGTAGCAACCGGTTTTCTAAAGAGTAAAACCGCTTAAGGGTGAGAGCTCGGGTGTCTCCAAAATCCGGAGATGTGATTCGGAATGGCAAAGAAACTGTATATCTACCTTTCGTATCGCGGGTAGTTGTATCTGCATAGTATTTTTCGCAATAAATATCTGAAGGTGGCTTTGGCAGCACATTGGGAATTTCCTCGGTTTCCCAGAATTTTTGTAGGGCATTATTTAGGTCGATATTTGACACCGTAATAAAATACGCGGATATGGTTTTAGAATTGGATGGGCCGGCATCCAAAGGCATTTTACCGATTAAGGTCCAACCGAAAACTGTATTTAAGCAAGTAGGGACATTGGGTCCAAAGTAAAGACGACCGTCCTGTATAAGAGATCCATAAATTTCAGCACCAATAAGAAGTTGTACTTCGGATTGAGTATACCATTGAGGATCAGCGAGCTTTAGTCCTTTTAAAAATTCCAAAGAATTTGGATCAAACGACATGTTTGGCATTTTGTTACAAATTTGTCGACTACAACAGTTTCTACATGAAACGTGTGTGATTTGGTGGCAAGTGGCGCAATTTCGCAATGTACCGCGCTGTATGCGGACATACTCATACTTTCTAAGCCGTTAATACTTATTGAAATATTGTATTTAGAAAGACCCAGCATTGTAGCGCACCTTTTTGTAAGAAATGAGGTTTGAGCACCCGAATCTAGAATAGCGCGAATTGGATGCCAATTCCCATGAACGTCACGAATATGTAATAACGCGGTCGAAAGCAGGGTATCGTGATCATTTAGAGCTATGCCGACAGTGACATTTCTGTGTAGAGTCAGTTCGTCTGATTCTTGCGTACTCCGAGATTCCGAAACTGGTGATCCGGGGGGAGGGGAAGGGTTGCCTTTTAAACATAAAAGGCTAT